TCTAAAGTGCAAACGTACAAAATCCACATTTAGTGCATGTGTGAGTTTAAAGTCCTGATAGCAGATGGGAAAGAACTGTCCTGTAGATGTGAGGTTCTTGATCTTAAGGACCTCTACCACCTGACTGAGGGCAGGAGATCAAACAGGTAGTGGCCTGGGTGTGATGATATATCAGAGATGATGTTTTTGGCCCTACTGAGATAGCAGGAGAAGGCAATATTTTACAGGGAGGGTGGTGAGCAGCCAGTGATTCTTTGGGCTGTGTTCATTATTCTTTGGAGAGCTCTCTTGTCTGCTGCTGTGTAACCGGAGTACCACACTGAAATGCAGTACTCCAGCACGCTCTCGATGGTAGAACAGTGAAAGTCCACCAGTAACTCCAGGTTGTTTTCCCGGAGCACTCTCAGGAAGTGTGGTGGCTGATGTGTCTTTTTGACGATCTCTGAGGTGTTGGCAGACCAACAGAGGACATCGAGAGATGAGAAGAAGTACAGTCATATGTGTACAAGGAGTAGAGTAGAGGACTCAACACACAGAATAGAGATATTTTCACCAGATAACTGGATTAATTTGGGGAATGAACTCCCCACTTCTTGTGTAAATGCTTCTGCAATTATTTAAGAAAAAGTTACTTGTGTTCAGCATGATAAATGAGGCCGAATATTCTTATTGACATTTAACATTTATGGTTTTTCATTTGATCATTATTGATATTATTCATATGTTTAAAATATTGTACTAACCACAGACCTATCAATAAAGTTATTTTGAAAAGAATTGAATTCGGCTTTGATATTTTTATAGATATTTCTGTCAGTGTTGCACAACCAGGCCATGCAGATAAATGGCATTGTGTTACACTCCTAATACAGTGTGTTTATAATCCATCAGGTTGTGTAGCTGTTTTTATCTGTTGGAAAGAAGAGAAATGACCCGAGGAGGTTCTAATCATGGATGTAGCTTTAATGTAGCTACAGTGTCCAGTGATTTTTAGCATAAAGCTTATAACATGATCAACAAATGGAGTTTCTGTAAAACAATCACAGTTTAGACGTTCAACTCCTCAGAGTAAACTGTAATAGTGTACACTTTATGTGTGTGAGAAGCTCGGGTGTGGTGAGTGCGTGTGTGTGTGTGTGTGTGTGTGTTGGGGGGTGTGCTTTTGTCTGTGTTAGATTTCCACTCATCACAGGAATCTTGGCTTTATGTCTCCAGATCTCCGTCATGCTTTCTTTAGCCTGTTCTACAATTCTACAATTATTTACTTCTAGTAACTTTTAGTTCTGTTCTGCTATGAGCTAGAAAGTGTGGTTTTCCTCAGAGCGTTTCAGATATGTGGGGAGCCGAGGTGAACACACTGACACGTGCATGCTCACAGAGACGTCCGGTTTATTCATTCAAAACAGGAGTATTTATACATATTGATAAGAAGCAGTGCGTGGACGGTTTCTACTGGTCCAACTGTCAGACAGATTTAGACAAAACACATAGCGCATAGTCATGATTTTTTTTTTTTTTTTTTTTTACCATCATGTCCACTATCCTCAGGGTAGATTTAAAGCCTTGTCCATTGATTGCTGTATTTGGGATTCCTGAAGCCTCAGTTCCTTTGAACTCGATACAAAAGGATGTTATTGCTTTCACATCCCTTATAGTAAGACGTTCCCTACTGTTACATTGTAAGTCTGCTAAATACCCATCTATCTCCCAGTGGATAAAGGACGTGATGTTTTTTCTGAAACTATCCTCCTCTCCTTCCCACATTTGACCTCAAGCAGTTCACCACACCAGCAACCCACAAAGCCGGAAAACAGCTTGACCTCATCCTCACACGTAATTGCACCACACACAATCTCATCTCATTCTCATACTTCTGTCCACACCTCTGATCATTTCTTTATCCAGTTCTCTATTTCTCTCCCCTCACTCCCTTCACTGTCTCCCCCTTCTATCTATTTTTATCGCAATCTTCGCTCCCTTTCCCCCTCACATTTCTCCTCCATTGTCACAACCTTACTTCCCTCGAACAGCCACCTTTCCTCACTTGACTTAAACACCGCAACCAACATGCTATGTTCCACCTTAACATCTTGTCTTGAAAGCATCTGCCCCCTAACCTCCAGACCTGCTCGCACATCACCCTCTAGTCCTTGGCTCTCAGAAGCTCTGCGTAAGAACCGGGCCAAACTAAGAGCATCTGAAAGGAAATGGCGCAAACCAAACAATCCAATTGACCTAACCAATTACCAGACATTTCTCTCCTCTTTTTCCAAAAGCATCTCCATTGATAAAGCCACATACTTCCAAGATAAGATTGGTAGTTCTCCCAACACCTGCATTCTTTTCAAAACTTTTTCCTCTCTTCTCTGTCCCCCTCCTTCCCTTCCCCTACCTCTCTCACTGAAGATGATTTTGCCACTTTCTTTTCCAACAAGGTTACATCAATCAGGAACCAGTTCTCAACCCCAGACATGCATAGACCGACTCCTCTGCTACGTAACTCCCAACTGACTTCCTTCTCCCCTCTCAGAGACTGATGTCTCTAAACTCCTACTCTCTAGCTGTCACACAACCTGTCCTCTTGACCCTATCCCTTCTCACCTTCTTCAGTCCATCTCTCCCACCACTATTACCTGCACTTACACACATCTTTAACACATCGCTCACTGCTGGCACATACCCTACCTCATTTAAGCAAGCCCGGTTACCCCACTGCTTAAAAACAAACACTCAACCCTGCTATAGTTGACAACTACAGATTTGTTTCCCCTCTCCCTTTCTGTCCAAAAACTCTTGAAAGAGCCGTTTTAATCAACTCTCCAATTTTCTCACACAGAACAACCTCCTGGACACCAAGCAGTCTGGCTTCAAGAGCAACCATTCCACGGAGACTGCTCTGCTTTCCATCACTGAAGCCTTACGACTAGCAAGAGCAACCCTCTAGATCATCTATCCTCATCCTACTTGACCTTCCTGCTGCTTTCGACACTGTGAACCATCAGATCCTCCTATCAACTCTCTCCAACCTGGGCATCACTGGAACGGTTCTACACTGGGTGGAATCCTATCTGTCTGACAGATCCTTCAAGGTGTCATGGAGCGGAGGGATTTCTGAAACTCAGCAACTCACAACTGGTGTTCCACAGGGGTCAGTTCTGGGTCCACTCCTCTTCTCTATCTACACTACATCTCTCGGTCAGGTGATTGAGTCTCATGGCTTTTCCTATCATTGCTATGCTGATGACACCCAGCTCTATTTGTCCTTCCAGCCTGACGATCCATCTGTCTCTGCACGCATCTCTTCTTGCCTGTTGGACATCTCGGTCTGGATGAATGAACACCATCTTAAGCTTAACCTGGGAAAGTCTGAGCTTCTCGTCATCCCAGCCTGTCCCTCAATCAACCAGAACCTCACTGTACTGGTCAGCTCACTTACACTCATGCCAACCAGGATGGCCAGGAACCTTGGGGTGATTCTTGATGAGGACTTGACCTTTACAGACCACATCTCAGCAACTGCAAGGTCCTGTAGGTTCATCCTGTACAACATCAAGAAAATCCGACCATTCCTCACCAAACAGGCTACACAGATACTAGTCCAGACTCTTATCATCTTTAAACTGGACTACTGCAACTCACTGCTTTCAGGCCTCCCAGCAGCTCCATCAAACCCTTCAGATGATTCAGAATGCTGCAGCGCGCCTCGTCTTCAACCAGCCCAAGACTACTCATGTCACACCCCTCTTCATCTCCCTCCACTGGCTTCCTGTAGCTGCCCGCATCAAGTTCAAGGCCTTGATGCTCACCTACAAGACCTTGTCAGGAACAGCACCCTCCTACCTCAACTCTCTCCTGAAGGCCTACGTTCCCTCTCGTAATCTGCGATCGATTAGCGACCGATGTTTAGTAGTTCCCACTCAGCGTGGCGCAAGGTCCCTTTCCAGAACCTTCACGCTAACTGTTCCTCAGTGGTGGAATGAACTTCCAATCTCAATCCTGACCACAGAATCTCTCACTATCTTCAAAAACAGCTAAAGACCCACCTCTTCTGTGAACACCTAACCAACTCATTTAAAAAAAAAAAAAAAACGTACTTACACCTCTACTCTGTGCACTTTGCTTCCTCTGGAACTGAATTAATGGATCTTGTATAGTAGCACTACTTGTATTGTTCCCTGCTTGATATATCGCTTTGCTTAATTGTAAGTCGCTTTGGATAAAAGCATCTGCCAAGTGCCAAGTTTTACATTTACATTTACATAAATAAAAAGAAAAACCTGTGAATGTTTACTGCTGTGTGTTGCTCAATTTGTTTTGTTTTTTCTTCTTCGAAGTATTATACATATTTATATTATACATATAAGCGAGTATTTATACATATTGATAAGAAGCAGTGCGTGGACGGTTTCTATTGGTCCAAGTGTCAGACAGATTTAGACAAAACACACGGGTACTCTGGTTTCCTCCCCCAGTACAAACACATGCATGGTAGGCTGATTGGCATGTCTAAAGTGTCCGTAGTGTATGAATGTGTGTGAGTGTCTATGTGATTGTGCCCTGCGATGGACTGGTACCCTGTCCAGGGTGTACCCTGCCTTGTGTCCGATGCTCCCTGGGATAGGCTCCAGGTTTACCGTGACCCTGAAGAAGGAGTAAGCAGTAGAAGATAGATGGATGAATGGATGGATGGACACAGCACATAGTCATGATTTTTTTTGGATTTTTTACCATCATGTCCACTATTCTCAGGGTAGATTTAAAACCTTGCCCATTGATTGCTGTATTTGGGATTCCTAAAGCCTCAGATCCATTGAGCTCGATACAAAAGGATGTTATTGCTTTCACTTCTCTTATAGCAAGATGTGAATCCAACCGGCAACCCTACGATTAGTGGATTAGTGGACAAACCACTCTATCACCTGAGCCACAGCCGCCCACAAGAATTGCGGGCACGCAATGCAATGTAACACTTTTTTAAAAGTCTTAAACACAATTTCCTTCAGAGATGCTGGGAAATAAACCCGGGGTCTCCTACATGCAAAACATGTACTCTACCACTGAGCTACATCCCTACAACTGTTTTTTTTTATCTAGTTCATCAACAGCAATGTCTGTTGACCAGATTTCAGTGTTAAATCACTGCAGATGATCCAGAATATGGCACATTTTAGTATTTTATTGATCTTTATTGAAAGTTATTGTTGTAAGGGACATGGTCATTAATAGGTCACATGACCACATATACTGTATATTACCTGTATATTGATGTGGTGTAAGGTGTGCTTATGGAGGGGTAGAACCTCTGGTGTTGGTAGCAGTCGTACTCCTGTGGCACTCAGCTCTCACCTGTGGCTCCAAGAAGCTGTAGTATGCGCAGCTGCCACACCACGGGCAACGGCTTCGACTGGCCGGCTAAACCAGGTTGAGGGTACCTGACGGGTTTCAAACCGTCAGTGAGTTCTGGGCTTGTTACCCATAGCATGCAAGACTGGATCCGGCAGACTGCGCGGAGGAACCTTCAACTGGTCAATGGACAGAAAGGCAGACCCAGCAAAGTGACGTGGAACGCTAAGAGCACGCAAGACACGTAGGACACCATGGTCATCCACTGCATCCAGTCTCCATTCCAGCCGTCTGGATTAAATGGGCCTGGACGAGAGAGTGAGGCTGATGTAGTGCAACTCTCCCTCACTTTAATCCAATTCACGAGCAAGTCATTTATGTCATCACCCGTTACTCAAGTCCTGCGCGATGGGCGAGATGCGGCCATGGCAGGTGTGGATGCACTGGCAGCCATAGTACCGGACCCCGCACGCAGGCGGCTGCCGCCATAGGGTCGTCTTCCATTGACCTGAAGCAGAGTGGATTTGGGCAGCCGTCTGAGCGACTTAGCAGCCCTCTTTATTAGCGCGCAGCGCCTTACCGCAGCCTGAGGAAGGGGCTAGAAAAGGTGCCCTAAAATAGCCTGCTTCATCTACCCTGACCAGCTTACCGCAGCTGGGGGGAATCCCCATTCGCGGTCGAAACAAAAGAAAACTCAATAGGTTTCCCTCACTCTTGGGCGTGGAACATACCACATTATTGGATCGCGAGAGACTGACAGACCAGAGAGAAGAACCCCCTCTGATTGCAAGAGAGCTTGTTCGCTATAATATAGAGATAGCAGCCCTGAGTGAAACCCGCTTGGCCGAGCGAGGGGTTGACTGAAGTTGGAGCGCTAGCTACTCCTTTTTGGAGTGGACGGGGAAGCGATGAAGGTCGGGAATCTGGAGTTGGGTTTGCTATCAAGACGAAGTCTGGTGAATAAGCTTTCTAGGTTACCAAAGGGAAGAAATGACAGGCTTATAACGCTGAAGCTACCTTTACCTGGAAGAAAGCCAGCCACACTCATTAGTGTCTATGCACCAACCATGACCAACTCTGAGGAAGTCAAAGACAAGTTCTACCAGGATCTGGAAGCTCTGATTGCTTCAGTACCAAAGTCAGATAAACTGATTATTCTTGGTGATTTTAATTCCCGAGTGGGCATGGACCATATTGCATGGGAGGGAGTTATTGGTAGACATGGCATTGGCAACTGTAACAGCAATGGACATCGGCTCTTGAGGATGTGCGCGACATATGATCTCCTGATCACCAATACAGTCTTCCGTTTGCCCAACCGGAACAAAACAACCTGGATGCACCCACGGTCTAAGCATTGGCATCTGATTGATTACATCTTGGTCCATAGGAGAGACAGGCAGGATGTCCGTGTGACCAGAGCGATGTGTGGTGCTGACTGCTGGACAGACCACAGGCTACTGATATCCAAGATGAATCTTAGAATTCAACCTCCCAGACGCCCACAGGGAATTGGAGTCCCGAAACGCCTCAATGTCTCAAGACTGAGAGACTGCAACGTTGAGCAAGCTCTGTCTGACGCGCTGACAAGCAAGTTAGAAACTACATATTCTGATACAAATGACATAGAGCAATGTTGGGGGGCCTTTAAACAGTTGGTGTATTCTACTGCATCTGAAACTATAGGCGTCACTGCGCGAAAACACCAAGACTGGTTTGATGAGAACTGTGAAGAAATACAGTCCATGCAGTCAGCACTGACCCAAAGTCCTTATCAAAGAAAGATGCTTTCAGCAGAGTCCGCCAAGCGGTGCAGAAAAACCGCGAGATGCAGGATACATGGCTTAGCGAAAGGCTGATGATATTCAGTCTGCTGCCGACAGACATGATATGAAACATTTCTATAGTGCTCTTACGTGATGTCTGCGGGCCCAGTAACCTCAGGCATTGCCGCAATCTTGAGCTCTGATGGCAGTACTCTCATAACCGGAAGGAGACGATACTGGAGCGGCGGGCTGAACACTTTGTCGGTGTCCTAAACAGACCCTCTTCCATCAATGATGAACCTATCAACAGCCTACCCCAGGTGGAGATAAATGAGAAATTGGCTGACCTTCCATCAGTGCTGGAGACCTCATAAGGCCATTGAGCTTCTGTCTAGTGGGAAAGCTCCGGGAGCAGACTCCATTCCAACGGAAATTTACAAGTGTGGTGGGCCTAAGCTAGTGGAAAGACTAACAGAGATGTTTTGTGGGATGTGGAAGCAGAAACGTATACCCCAAGAATTCAAAGATGCATCTATCATCCACATTTACAAACGCAAAGGAAATCGCCAACACTGCGACAACCATAGAGGAATCTCTCTACTATGTATCGCAGGAAAGGTCCTTGCAAGGATTCTGCTGAATAGACTCACAGAGCACCTTGATCATGGCCTACTGCCAGAAAGTCAGTGTGGTTTCAGAAAGACGAGAAGCACCATTGACATGATCTTCGCTGCTAGGCAGATGCAAGAAAAGTGTCAGGAACAAAATGTCCAGCTATACATCACCTTCGTAGACCTAACAAAGGCATTCGACACCGTGAGCAGAGAAGGCCTTGGAAAATCATGGCCAAATTTGGATGCCCGGAACTTTTCATTGAAATGGTGAAACAATTTCATGATGGCATGCTTGCTAGAGTCCAGGACCAGGGTAACTATTCCGTACCCTTTGAGGTTATGAATGGTGTGAAACCAGGATGTGTCTTAGCCCCCACCCTCTTTAGCCTCATGTTCTCTGCCATGCTTATGGATGCTTTCAAGCACAGTGATGTGGGAGTCGGTCTCCGATCCCATCTGGATGGAAAGTTGTTTAACTTGAGGAGGCTGCAAGCCAAGACCAAAGTCCAAGTTGAATACATTCGGGACTTTTTGTTTGCAGATGACTGTGCCCTCAGTTCCAGTACAGAGGCAGGCATGCAATATAGCATTGACCTCTTTTCCACAGCGTGCACCAACTTTGGGCTAACCATCTCCACTAACAAGACCGAGGTTCTGCATCAGCCAGCTCCGGGAAAAGACTATCTGGAACCATCCATCACTGTCAGTGGCCAAAAGCTGAAAAATGTGGATAGATTCATATACCTCGGCAGCACCCTATCACAAGCAGTCCACATAGATGATGAGGTAAACTCCAGGATTGCCAAAGCCTGTGTAGCTTTTGGCAGACTCCGCTCAAATGTTTGGGATAGGAGAGGCATTAAGCTTGCAACCAAACTCAAAGTCTACTCAGTGGTGGTTCTACCCACCCTCCTTTATGCTTGTGAAACATGGACTGTGTATAGCCGACATGTTAAAAAACTCAACCACTTCCACATGAGCTCCCTGAGAAAACTGCTGAAGATCAGTTGGCAGGACAAGGTACCAAACACAGCGGTGCTCAGTCAGGCTGGCATGACAAGCATCCACACCATGCTGTGCAAGGCACAGCTCCGATGGGCTGGCCATGTTGTCCGCATGCCGGAAGAACGCATACGTAAGAATATGCTCTATGGAGAGCTACAGCAAGGCAAGAGGGACACCCTTAAGGCATCGCAGAAGAAATTTGGCATTGATCCTGGCAGTTGGGAGGTGTCGCTGCTGATAGATCTGCTTGGCACAGTCAAATCGATACCGGGCGGCAGCCCTCGAGCAGAAAAGGGCTGGAAGACGCCACCGAAAAGATGCTCTGTGCAAATTCAGGAACAGCAGTTACACAGCTCGCAGTCAGCAACCTGCATATCCTTGTCCTCACTGCAACAGACTCTTCCGGGCCGGATTGGGTTGATCAGCCATCTCGGGACCCACCTCTCTAAGTGAATAGATGACATAAATGGTCCTCATCGACCCCGATGGACGAACATCATCATATTACCTCAGGTTATTTCTATTCCTTATTCTATAGAAGGAAAAATACAGCGTAATCCTTCCAGCTAAAATCCCAGAGATACTCCAGTTATAATTCCCATCCAAATAAACTGTTACTCAGAAACTCAGCAGGATGAAATCTTAAAGACTGCACCAATGAGCTGCTGTGTACGCAGGTTTTAAGGACACACACACACACACACACACACACACACACACACACACACACATACACACACAACACACACACAAAAAACACACACACACACACACACACACACACATTAGCGCTGTACTCATATGTGTATTTCTTAAATAAGACACATACACACACTTAAAGAACTTCCTGTTTGTTAGTGTGTGACACTCAGGCTGTTGAGATGGAGAGACAGTTAAAGTGTTACTGTAAATATGATGTTCATCACTTCAGCTCGAGAACTGGAGACACTAACACGCTCTGGTAAGAACCGCTCTATCTGTAATAATAACACTTTAGTTCACGAGACTCAGCTGGAAATTCTTATATTTGATCTTAAGGTAAATAAAACTGTGTAATCTTATCAGTATCAGTTTATCAGCTGCAGAAACAGTGTCCACTATTTTAAACTTCAGATCAACATTTTCTTGCAGTAGATATGAAATATTTACACATTTATACATTTATACATTCACTTGTGCTACAGTAGCTGTTTTTTTCTTCTGATATTTCACTTCTATTGCTGTGTCTGAGATGAACAGAGAATTGAAAGCTAAACATATTTGCTAACAGAGGAGAATGTGTGAATGTTGCACAACCAGGCCATGCAGATTTGTCTGTAAACAACACAACGAGTTGCAGTGAAG